GTTCGAATGAGCGAAACACAGACCTATTCATAGGCTGTAGTTGGTGCGTTGTATTGCTTGGCAAGCAATATTACGTTATACCCAACTCTTCTGCGACCGTGACAATAGAGTAATCCAGATGACACAGCACCATCGAAAATTAAAAGAGATAGACCAGCAACTATGTATTTGGCAAAACGATGCAGCCATTGTTTAAAAGCATCAATGGTCATACTACCTTTTGGAGTCATTAACACCATACTAGACGTCGAAAGTGTATCTGCTCATTCAGGCTTTATCCTTTTTCCTTTAAATAAAATTAAGGGAGGAATCGCAGAACCCAGGGCATTGTCACAAGATACTATTGTGACGTTTTATTCATGATAATTTGCCACAAGGTGCACTCGCTTTGCTCCTTGTTTTGTAAGGAGTTTGTTGGTAGTGTAATGCTAACTGAGAGCCTTTCTCATCCATGTTACAGATATGCTCAGGCTTGTCCATGTTAGCAAGAATTTCACCCAATTTTTCAAAATGGTCAATTACAATAAATTTATTTAGTTTCTGAGCTCTCGCAGGGTTTATGCTTTGAGCTTTCCGATTCCTAATATTCGGACACCTGTTAAGAAAACCTTTTAGCCAGTATCGGCCCGCCAATTTTGTAACTTTATTGAACGGACTTTGAATTTGGTTGGTATCACAAAAATTGAACACGCATTGCCGAAAAACTTTCGAAGTTAAGGGATAGCATACTTCCGCCAAACGAATTATTCTTCCACACAAATCTTCCTCTTGTTCTAAATTAATAACTGATTTGCGACCCATGGCAGATTTTGTTGTTTGATGGTAACATAACCCAGCAAACATTTTGGTGTATTTTGACGTCGATACTACCTAAATTATATCTAATAAATTTGGTCGCAAAATTAGATTTAACCATAATTAAGTAAAATTTACGTTGACTCGACGTGGATTCGACATAAGTGGAGAATAAGACGATGTCGAAATTTGGTTTTATTTACCAAAATAGGTAGAATTACATCTAAATCCACATTGTAGTAGCCCAGTACGTTTGGTTAGTAATACCTCTCTAGGGAAATTTGACGTCAGTATAACGTTAATTCGACGTTGATTTAACTAAGTTTAGGTAGAAACTACCAAAAAATTTGCAGATGACGTATGCCTCCAAGTGTACGAAAAGAAAGTTTATACTTATTTGGTATTTTTATCTATATATAAGTAGAAATATTGTAACAAGTCACCAACACAACTAAAACATATACCTAATTCACATGAAAGATTGAAAATAAATAAATGTCGTTGACAAAAATATATGTAATGTAATTGCGGTGAATATACAGTTCACGCTTGTTGAAATTAATGCGAAGAAAATTTTTGTCGTGCATGTTAACAGTTCTAATTAGAAAAATAACAATGCCCTTCCAAAATACTCTTTAATTAAAAAAATATAAGAAAAAAATATGATCGTGTAAAAAATAATAATAATATTATGAGCTAAAACTATGTTACGTTTGTTGTGTATCACTTTAGAAAATCAATAATATTTCGTTTTTCGGTATTTTCATTCGTATGTTCTAGCTATGGTCATTTTAAAAATTTAAAATTTGGAATCGTACTTTAATTACGTTAAGAAAATATGGCGATATGGCGTATTGGGCGAATTCGACCTAAAAGTTATTATGACTAAGGAAATCTACGTATTTTACAAATACCTTTTTACTAAGTTGAATTAACTTCAATTTCACGACATATTAGTTAACTTTACCTATTTAAAGAAATTATAGGTTTTATAAAAAATTTACCTGTAGGTAAAAATAACATATTTAGGTCACGTTGTTCTGCACTTGAGATTTTAGACGTTTCACTTCACGATAAAAATCGGAAGTATAACGATATGATTTATTATTTTTCGAACTCATTTTATTAATTATTTTTCGCAATCATTTAAAGCTCTATCTACACCACACGTAAATTAAGATTACGACTGTAATGGTTTTTTTAAAATGGCCGAAATTCTTAAGAATAATGACGAAGACAGTAACTGAACAACCTAATTGTTAAAATAACCTAAATAATATAAATTTTACAAATAGGTCATGTATGACTCTTTTTAAATTGGTGGTTTTTAGTCGAATTTACTTTGTGGTAGATTTTTCAGGTAATTGCTACAACAAAGTTAATAAATATTTCTTCAAGATGACTTATAGGTCAACTAAATGAGTATTCGATTTGGTTGAAATTAGGTAGATAAACAGGTAGAATTTTGCTACGATCTCGACCTAATATAACTTTAAAGGAGAGTAAATAAAAACGGCCAAATAGGTTACTATGGAGGCATAAAATTACGTAGAATTTTTAACCAAATCTACCTAATTGGATATTCTACTATAAAGACGATTTTTAGTTGCCAAACAGGTAGATATTACCTAAATATGGCACCTAATTTTACTACAAAGGAAATTTAACTTTGAAGTAATTGTTGGTTATTTTTTTTAGTAGTTTTTCCCTTGTTGATATGGTTATAGTTACTTTTAAGCAGATTTGTGTAAAAGGTAGATTTCTTGGTATAATTTACGTAAATTTAAATATAAATTAAAACCGTTTGGTAAATTTACATTAGAGGTATATTTTTCTAGTCAATTTTACGTAATAATTACCTCAATAAGTAAATTCGTCTTTAACAAAGTCGAGTTATAACTAATGTTATAGAAAATGTTTGCTGGGAAGTGGTCTATCAGGGTCCAACGAAGAGCCAAAAATTATTTACTTGCTGAATTCACAGACATGCTATTTCCAACAGCTGCTAGGACACGCTGCATATTTTCTTCCGACCATTCCCTCTGACACCTCGGTTTATTGCTTTATTCATGACGATTCTGTAAAATAATTAACGATTCTTTAGTATAAATTCAAGAAAACATGAAAAAATATTCATGTCTGGCAATATCACCATTGGCGATATTGCTATGCGGTTATTTTGGCGATATTACAAACACGCGCACATTTCTATTGTTTCTTGCTTACTTCGTTAAAAAACATACGATTTTTAAATGTCTACCATTAGTTGATAGTTTATTCTTTACTAAAAACTACTGCTGATAAAAAAAAACACTTACCTGCACAATCTTTGAAATATCCAATAAATATCACGAGTAATCACTTACATTGGTGATGGTGGTGGTGGCAAAGCAATTTAGGTGAGAAACCAACTGCTAAACGAAAAATGTGAGGTTAGAATTCACCACAAATTGAAATGTAGATTGCTTTTACTATTGGTAAAGTACCCCAAGCGCCATTTGTCTTTCAGAAACCAAACCTTCCAAGATATGAACCCTTGGCGATATTGTATTCACCTACCTTGCAACTTACATAAGACCAAAGATAGAATTTGCACAGAGATCCATACTTTGTGAAAGACATTGAACTGCTGGAAAGAGTACAAAGGAGAGTTACCAAAATACCACCCCAACCTTAAAAAATAATGAGTATTGTGATCGGCTAGCCAAACTACAACTTAATAAAAACTTACAAGTGGACTAGCGTATATTAAACCTGTGATAACATCTTCCAGGCCAGCACAACAAGAACCTTGAAAGGTCACTCGAAGAAATTCCAATACAGAAAAGTGTAATAAACTGCAAAGAAAAAAGTTCGTAACAAACAGAATTGTATATCTGTGGAATGGTCTCCAGCAACATACAGTCTCAGCCCAGAACATAAACCAGTTCAAGGCGAGAGTGGATATAGAACTCGAAGAAATAAAAAATAATTTTATTCATTATAGTTTATAGTGTACTGGATTTTAACTGTCATGTAGTGATTTAGAATAATTTGTGTCAGTAACTAAAGGAGCAGCTTCATCGACTATGTCGCCTAAACAATAATAATAATATTAATAATAATAACAACCAACTAAAAGTAATGAAAAAGTCTTTATTTTTAATACAAATTAATCACTTTCCATTCCAGTCTAAAGGTCCTAATGCTTAAATTATCATAATTCACCTTTTTTTAAACGGTAGTGTATAAATTAACTCTTCAAATATTTACCTCTAATTTTAGAACACCCTGTATACTATTTTAATAATGGTCGAGCAAAGTTGAAATAAATATGTTAGTATTTTACAGAAAGTATACAAAAATCACTCAAACGAAGCAATTTTCTTCTTCTGGGATCACCAAAGTTTATTTACCCAAAACTTTAGCTCTAATTATTAAATTAGTTTTGTATAAATAATTTTTTTTTTCGATTAAAGCTCTCAAGATAATTTAGCAGAAAAGGTATTATATCATGATTTAAGTTGTGAAGTTATAAGCTAAAAGAAGTTAATGTAATAAAAGGCGTAATTCGGTCGTTATAAGTGTCGATTCTCATAAGAGATCGAAGTTAACAAAGTGGCTGGGCCCAGGCCTTTTAACGAAATTGAAAATATTCTGGGGCGTTAGCACTTTCCTCAGACAACACAAAACAGGCTGCAGGAACTCTCAGATAAATTGCTTTTATCGAAAAATTCTGTGTGCACCGTGAACCGTGGAGGTATGAGCTATGTTTTTCGGCCTATGTTTATGTGCCCAGACGTGCACGACGATATCCAGCTGTGCTGATATTTAATGCTAATCAAAAAGCAACAATCTTTGATTTTTTTTTTAACTTTACAATTTTTACTTTGAATTTTATAGATACTTTCTATTTATAAGGTGTAATGCTGTGTCTATAATGTCAGTATTTTAGAAACAATGTATTCTCAATTAAGGGTAGACGCGGTATAAGGACTTTTATTATTAAGTCAAATAGATCCTGATAACCAGAGGATGGTGCAACGTCTGTTCAACCATGTACATGTCGTACTAATGAATGATATGGAGATAAGAAATAGATTATAGATGAAATTTAAGCCCGCCAATGGCTGTATTATCACAAAAAAGATAGTGACGACAATAAATATCGACAAGAAGACTTAATAAAAGGAAGAATAAGAATATTATCGGTTATTCTTACCTACCGAAGGTCTGTAGCGTCGCAGAGATGAACTATTCTGCTCAGTTTGGTCTCCTGATGTCATCGCCTGATATCCGACATACGATCCTATTCCTGCCTACAACCAAACACAAAATTGTTCTATTAGTGAAACAAGTACTATATAATTCTGTAAATTAAGTAATGTTAATTTTAATTAGAAGAAACATAGTAATTAGGATAATGGAGATTAGTTTAGAAGAGTTAGAAACCACCATAGAACAATGACCGATCAATTCATATCAGCAGGACTGTGACAATCGTGATATATTAATTATTCAAAGCATACATGTCAAATTTTTAGTATCAATAGCTATGCCACAAAATCTTAGTAGGTACATCGAAATAATTCTTGAGGTATCACATGGTTCTATTCTTGGTCCTAATCTTTCTCTGGTATATATATTAATAAATTAGACGTTGTTTTCATAATCCTATCAACATGTAATTAATTTCTTGCGTTGTTTGAAGAGTTTTTTTTATTATTTAATACTAAATAGTAGACAGAAAAATGTATAAAAATCAACCTGTCAACTACCAACGTAGGCCCTCTGAGTTCAGCATCACATTTCAAATTTCTGCTTGAACTGGAACTGTCACTGCATGATTCTGATATCGAAGCTTAGCGCTGTCAATTATTTGATTAAACTCTAGAACCAATTATTAATGGTTTATTATGCTCAAGGAGAGAGAGAATGGGCTTTGTTAGAGGGTGAGATTTTAGGGATGATCGACAATGATGGCCGAATGAAAGAATATTATTACTACTACACGTATATAAGTAATATGGATAGAAAAGAGACTGTAATCGTATTGTGTGTAAATAATTTACTTGTTTTGTTATTTAAATATCTAAATAATTAAATAATATCGTTTTAATTACCAGGTAAGTCAAAAAGACAGCACTCTTTTTGATACTCTTAGAATTATTAAGAGCACCATAGACGTTTCTATAAATTATCAAGTAATCAAAGTCAATCATAAAGAAAATGTGAAAATAAACTAGCCACAACGAAATAGTTATCACTTATTTAAATTGTTATAACTCCAAAAAGAGAGGAAATACTTACCTTACATTTTGTGTTCCTTGAGGAATATTGTTCCATTCCTTCTGAAGTGGTACTGCTAACACCTGTAGAATATTTGGCTGTTCTCGATCCCGGAATCTTCTTCCCATGATGCTCCAAAGATGTACAATGGGGTTTAAGTCAGGGCTGTTGGCTGGCCACTCCATTACAGTAAGATTTTCCTCTTCAATAAAGTTTTAAACAATTCTTGCAGTGTGGGGCTTTGCATTATCTTGTTGTAAAACAAAATTAGGGCCTTCTAGATGAGCCAGTGGAACGACAATAGGTGCTAATATCTCATCGATATAACGCCTAGCTGTTAGAGTGCCATTTTCAAAACATGTAAGCGTGTACGCCCGTTCAATTGAATACCTCCCCAAACCATTACAGAACCTCCGCCAAAAGCTCTTACTTCTCTTACATTGCAATCCAAAAATCGTCCTCCACGGCGCCTATAGACTCTCACACGTCCTTCGTTGGAGTAAAGGCAAAATCTGGATTCATCCGTGAAAAAAAAAAAGGCTCCATTGATGAATATCCCAATTTACATGTTCTGCTGCAAAGTTTCTTCTTGGTTTACGATGAGCTGGTGTTAAATGAGGAACAATAGCTTGACTTCTTGAGTGTAGTTGGGCTTCATGAAATCTGTTACGTGTAGTCTGTAGAGATATGCGTCTACCAATGGCCTGAAAATGTAAGTTTCTTATCTGTGTAGTTAGCTGTTCTTGTCCTATTTTGTAGGGATAATCGTACAATTTGTCGGTCCTGTCGGGGCGTAGTTATTCTTTCTCGTGGTGTATATGGTCTTCTACGGATAATACCTATGTCTTGAAATCTATTCCACATTCGGTGAATCGTTGGTTGACTTGTTTGAAGCAAGCGGGCTACGTATCTCTGCGAACGTCCTTCTTGTAATAGTATAACGTCTCTTGCTACTTCAAGTTCACTTAGATGCCTTCTTTGTACAATAGGCCTTCCAAGAACATCGTTATTCATAATTTCAAGTCAATTATTAATGTTACAAGCAATTTAATTGATGTACAAAGTAAAACTGAATGTATCAGATACTTTTAATTATTTGCGTATATATTTCTTTTCTCACCTCCTCATAAAAAAGTTTTGTTTTTTTATATTGAAAATATGCATTTAGGTGTGCTTGTTATTTGTATAAATTTTAATGGAAAATACGGGGGACATTTAAAAATATTTAGATAATTAATTCAGTGATATATTTCGTTGTGACTAGTTTATTTGCTTCTAAGCTATCAAAATGTTTATTTGAGATAGGGAATTGTAAGCTCTATTACATTTTTAAATAACTTTTAGTTCCATTAAACCGACCCTGCATTTCTTATTGATTCCTACATCCAATATTCGTATATACGATCAAAAAAGTCAACCCTGTATAACCGTTGAATAAATAATTCGTTATGAGATTTCAACTGAATATGTGATGTAAATCATGTAGTCCGGGCATGGTCCGAGCGAGAAAAGCTTCTATTATAGCAAAAAGCTAGTCAAAAAAATAGATAGGAAAAAGGCAAATTGACTGTTCGGTATTAAGTTATAGAAAATGACCTCCGATCTCCGATTTTTCAAACTGTCTTGAATAAGATATGTGCTTGGTATATCGTATACCGTGCATCAACAACACATTCCATCAAGTAGGGAGGGTCAGAGCTTGTTGGATATTCGGGAAGAATTACAAATTCAAATACATACAAACCGAAAATGTTCTATTTTCTTATCTAAATAAAAGTTTGGAGAAACCGTTATTGATTATCTTTATTTATGTTTGAAGTTTGAAAGAATGAAAAGGTACCTACTTTGCGAGTTCCTTTCCAATATCGTCAATCATTTGTTCGATCTGTTTACAAAGACTTGACCGCAACCTTCACTCCCCAACCCCGTCCGTTTTGCTTACTCTTCGCGTCCTGTTGTTTTTCTTCAAGAATATCATTCATTCTGAATTTGCTGATCCTTAACAGATGTTTCGATTATTTTTGTAGGTGGTTAGGTGAAGATTTTAATTGAATAATAAGGAATTCTTTGAAAAGGAAATAAATAATGAAAAATATCGAAAATATATGACAAAAGAAATAGCCTAGCAAATTTTTATCTCAATAATAATTACTAGGTGGTTAAAATGGAGAAAGAAAGTCTGGTATTTAAATGTTTGTTCCTACTTTAATATGTGGCAAATTTGTCAAGTTGTTTTTTTGTTTGGTTCAAGTACTATATAGAAAAACCGCCTTAATTATTTCGTTATTTCGAACCACTGATCTGTATTATTTTACTGGATAGGATATAAGCTATATTTAACATACTAAAAATTCGTTCCACCAAGGAGACCGGAAGTGCAACACTGCTGGCCGATTTGGGCAAATTATGGTGAGATCACAGAACTGAATTTTGGGATAATTTGACATATCTAACCTATAATTTGATTAGTTTTTCTTCTTATTCTTCTTCTATTCCTTCTGCGAGCAATGTCCATCGGGACAAATCAACCATAATTTGATTTTTTTATGAATGAAAATATAAAAATGGAAACGTAAAGCAAATTGTGTCTTCACAAATGAACGTTTATTGTTTATATCATAATAATGCTATCCGATACTACCTAAATAAATAAAAAAAACATCTCATCGTAATTTGTTGACACAATTAAATGACAAATGTGATGACAAATGGAAATAGAGGTTATGTTAAATAACATCCGGTCCGCCATATTATTTGCCCAAATCGGCCAATTTTTCGGAACGTTTTTTAGGGGGCTATATCCTATCCAGTAAAATAATACAGATCAGTGTTTCGAACACAATCACCTCTTACTCAAATGTCATTTGTCGTCTATGCTTTGTGTCAGAGGTAGTGACATTTTTATTTTCATCTGACACATAGCGGCGAATAAGTCACTTATATTTTAATATTATTTTGGTCATCCGAAATATTAATTCATATTTATTTATATTAATGACCGTCTGATTTTATAAGACGGTTCGAGTTCGAATACAAATAAGAAAACTATATCTTGAAGATCATTCACGGTTCAATGACGAATATGATTTTCGAATGAGAGTATGAAATAGAATCCCGAATCACTTGGTGAAAGTTGCCTGACCGGTATATAATGTTTAGCGATTGATGTATCTCTGCAGTTTGGGACGAAGAAAGAAATAATTGATTTTTACCTTTAACTTACCATACCGTATATTATCTATTTACCACACAGATAAGTGCAATTGATCTAAACAATAAATTGTTTTAAATTTGAATTGTGTGCACTTATGTGAATTAGAATTTGATACCTACCTTATCTAAAGCATGTTTTAAGTATAATTTGTTAGTGATTTTCTATATTTTTATCACTAATGTAGAGTTAATTGTATAAGCTTTAAATATGGTAGTGTCCAACTTCTTTTTCAAAGTTATTAGAGTTATTTAAAAACAACCCACGCCCTATAAATTGAGCTCAAACACATATATCAAAGTAGATAAAATAACCAGCTATTCATGTTACAAAAATTCGGGCCTCCACTTTTTCGGGATCCGTCCTTAAACCACCCTTATCTAAGAAAAATCCAAGGAAATGAAAAGAATCACGACAAAATTCGCTTTTCTTTATATTAATTGTAAGTTCAGCATCTTTCAATCTATTAAACAATTTTTTCAAAGTGTCAATATGAAGTTCAAAAGTAGGAGTTGCTACAATAATGTCATCCAAATAACAGAAACAATAAGGAAGAATAGAGGGATCTATGACTATGTCCATTAAACGAGCCATTGTACGAGGACCATTTTTTAAGCCAAATATCATTCTTGTGAATTCAAATGACCCGACATCAAAAACTGAAAAAGCAGTTTTAGGTTTGGAGGTAGAATCTGTAGAAACGCCTTTCTAAGATCAATGGAGGTAAGAAATTTTGCATCCCTAAGTTTACTCAACATTAAGTCCACTAAATGCATAGGATAACTATCAGAAACCGTGTGTTGATTCAAACGTCTACTA